AATTAATGAAAAAACAGTAAAGAAAAATGCTCTTATTAGGATCAAGAAGAGTCCCTCAACGTTTTGCAAACAAAAAAAGAAAAAGAAAACTTCGTGGCATGCATTGTATTGGGTGACACACTGTTTACCACATCAGCAGGAATAATATCCGGTGATAATGTAAACTTTCTGACTTCTAATGAAGCAGAAAGCTCACAGCAAGGAAGAAGGAGTAGGAAAAAAACCACGAGATTTGCTTGAGATTGCGACTCCTGCGGTTGTAGAGTGCCATTTAAATTGAAAACGAGGGTGGCCAGGTTTGGTCGTCTAAATGGAGTCAGATTTTAGATTGTTCTCAGTCAGGTGGCTGGCTTTTTTATAAACTCCACAGGAAGAGCTACTTTATGTTGCATATGAGAAACAACCACACAAATTCCAGCAACAGGTATACAAGAAGCACAGCTAGTCACTGATGTGATTGGCACAGTTTCCTTATGTGTCTTTTTTGCAAAATAGTAAAACTAATTATATTTGTTAAAAGGGTTATTATACATACACTACACATTAACTGCTGGGTTTGCTTTGTTAATAAATTAACAAGAAAAGGTGTTCTAATTGTTTTCATCAGGTCACGTCCTGCTGACTTACTTACTCTTGGACCTCATCAAGCGTTCTGCTCCGGCCCGTATTGTCGTGGTGGCATCGGTGGCCCATACTTGGACTGGGCTTCGACTGGATGATATCAACAGTGAGAAGAGTTACGATGCCATGAAGGCCTACGGACAGAGCAAACTGGCTAACGTCCTCTTTGCACGCTCACTCGCAAAAAGGTTGCAAGGTGAGCTTTTAGAAAAGGAATATCCAAATGTGCATCATGAGGAATGAAGGCTATAACACATGGGTATCTTACAGCCATGATATGGCCACAGAAATGTGTAAAAGTGGAGCATGTGCAGACATCGTGTAGGCGGGTTTTGCTGAGAGACTCAGAGTCATGGAATCTGACTAATGGGATGAAGTTGTGCTGTTGAGTCAAGGAAGTAGATTTTTTTTTTTTTTTTACATTTTTACATAACAACAGTCTGGCAGCAACAAGCTTAAACTTTCTATTAACGTCACCCTGAGTAACTTGCAGAAATACTTGCCTATGTCAGTACCTGTCTGCCTTCGTACCTACTCATCTGCCAACAGGGTCCCACTTCCACTTGAATGCTCTCTTTAATCCTCCAGGAGTAGAGCTCAGTCCATTAACTCAGAAATAAACTGAAGGTGTTTTAACAAAGGCTAACTTGTCTGTTGTTGTTTTCATTAAAAATAAAAAAACTATATTCACTGTAGGGACTGGTTGAAAAAAATGTTACAAACCTCGCTTAAAATCCCAACATGCACATATAAATAGCAGGTGACAATTGTTAGCACATGTTATTTGGCAGCATTTGTATGTGCTTGCATTTGTGTTGCAGGTACAGGGGTGAGCGTCTTCTCTCTGCACCCAGGGGTGGTTCAGTCTGACCTGTGGAGGCACCAGCACCAATGTATCCAAGTGGCGGTGAAGATCTTCAAGGTTTTTACCAAGACCACAGTGGAGGGAGCGCAGACTACCATTTACTGTGCTGCAGAGCCAGGTCTAGAGAGCCTGAGTGGAGGGTACTTCAGGTACACAGTCCCAGTATTTCAGTTAACCGCAAGAGCTTTTAGAGTGCCGGTGTTACCGTGCCCAGTGTTTCTACCTGGTAATAAAGGAAAAGTTACACTTGATGTAATGTTTTTTCCCCATTTTTTATAAGTTACATAAATGCAGTGCATAGTGTGTAATTCTCATTTTCTGTTTCTTTGTGTGTGCAGTGACTGCGCCCCTGCAAGGTGCTCAAGAACCGCCTCTGATGATGACTTGGCGCAGAAACTGTGGGAGGTCAGCTGTAACATGCTCGGCATCACCTGGCAGTGAAGACACTGTGTGTGAAAACATCATACTTTAAACAGCACTGCTAAGCACTTTTATACATGTATTAATGTTACTGTTTAAAAGAAAAGTAACAGGATTGCTCCAAAGACCATTTTATTTTGTAAATGATCTAAAAAAGCTGTACATTGTATGTTTTGGTGGGAAAAAGTGTTATTAAAAAGTGCATGATGCTTATTTCTGTGAGGGCATATCTTGTTCATTCCAGTCTTGAACAGCGAGATAGAGCAAAGTGTGGATCTGGTTCTGATCAGAAAAACTCAGATCATTATAAATGCTTGCAGTTCTACCTTTCCTCCTAACAGTAGAAAGAACTATTTACAGCATGGACACATATGGTTGTAAGTGTCAGCATGTAAGAGTAACAACTACATTGCAAAATGTTGCTCGTTTGTAACCTATAGACATGTTATGTGATGTGACATGTGTGCTTTGACACTATGACACTGAGATGAGTAGGCTAAGTATAATGAAGAAAGGAAAGAAAAGTCATTATAAAGCAAATGCCAGAATGCTGTTTAGAAATCACATCTTAATCTGCATCACATGAGGGAGGATTTAGTGCCTAAGGAATGTGGAATAAGATAAGCCCATGACCAGTAATCTGTCTGAACAATGTGTGCATTCTGATTTAGATATACAGTCTCTGAAAAAAAGGATCTAGAACCCCTGATTGTAATTTTATGGATTTAAATATGTGATAAATTTAGGGGCCCTAATTCCTTTGTAACTATTTAGTTTTCTTATTTATTTTAATTGTGAAAGTGACTAAATCATTGCCAGTTTGCTGTCTGCTAGAGTGTTTTATCTTTATTAAAGGGGATAAACTTGTTTTTCTATACCTGATTCTAGTCCTCGACTAAAGACTTGTTTATTATCTTGATTGTTTTTCATTTTTCAGTCTATTGCTATTAATGTGTTTCTGGGATGATGGCTACAAATGTTTGCTTGCCCAAATATGTAAATAAAGCACAACTTCGATGGGATATATGATCTTACAGTATCACACCAATCCTCTTTATAGCCAGCTCCATTACATTCATGGATCTTCTTTGAGGTCTTCCTCTCTTCCTTCTGCCTGTCGACTCCAGAAAGTGTAATCGTTAAGAACACCTCCCCGCCTGCAGGGGGCGGTGCAGAGAATGATAACAGCGCATAGAATACAATACGCATGCGCTCCTAAAGTCTACGTCAGCTCTTTCTGTACAAGGGGGTGATTTGTGTCGTAGCTACGTGGCTCTCACTTCTCCGACTTTCTTACTAAACATCACGTAGGAAATAGGTAAGCTAACTGCCGCTTTTAAATACACATGTGTATTTTTCATCAGATAAATGTAACCAACTATAGTTGGGTTGGAACCTTTTGATTTTATTTTACATGTCGAGGTTTATTGCCAACATAACGCTACGTCGCCATAATAGTTAGCATATCTTAGGATAGCGTTAGCTAAAGTCGAGTTTTAATTAAATTAACGTAACATAACTGACTTAAAATCAGCTTCGCATGCTTGTTTTTATCGTGTTTTTTGTTTTTCTTAGAAAATGAGAATATATACAGTATATTTATAATAACAAAGTTGTTAAAGCTCGGACAGCTTAAGTCAACGTCAGCACTGAAACCAGTCCCAGCTTTAAGATTGACTTGTGTTGTTTCAGACTAAGCACCATGGATCAGGTTATGCAGTTTGTTGAGCCCGGCCGGCAGTTCGTGAAAGACTCCATCAGGCTCGTTAAGAGGTGCACAAAACCCGACAGAAAAGGTGGGTGTTGTTTCTTTTTATTTATGTCGGCTAGCCTTTGTTTGCTGGAAACGAAAATGAATATATAAATTTGAACCAATTGACTAGCAATTTCCGGATCCAAAGAGCTCAATTCTTTAATAGGGACATTGTATTATTTCCAGTATTTTTAACAATGATTATTTTTGCCCTCACCCAGAATTTCAGAAGATTGCAATGGCCACAGCGATTGGGTTTGCCATCATGGGATTCATTGGTTTCTTTGTCAAGCTCATTCACATCCCCATCAACAACATCATTGTGTAAGTAAACAATTTATGATAAACAGCATCACGCAGACCGTCTCCGAACAATTTTTAGATAATATCGTCTAAAACGTGCTCTCATCTGGCTCACTGATAATTGGGGGGTTAGGGTTTTCCTTTATATTCCTCTCAATCTGAGTACAGCTGGTCATTCAAAATTAAAGTCGGTGATGACTCTACAGACAATGAGGGTAACTTACTGATCCAGACCCACTTCTCATTATCATCTGCCTTTACTTGTTGTTATCTAAGTTCATCCTCAATTTCACTCAGTACAATATATATGTATTTTTATTTTAAAACTCCTGTAATGTCTTAATTTTATAATGAAAAAATACTGCACTTTGATCCAGAATTTCTGCCATCACCCTTGAATCTTGTGAATCACTATGGCTCTACCATTAATTGTTACAGTCATATGTTATAGCTGCTACTAATACTATATTTCCACAGACAAATTTAACATGATTGCATCTTTTATTTAAGTCTCTGATCAAGTTTCTCTTGTATGTAAATTTCATGAAATGGATGATAAAATGACAAACTCTTCCAGTGATTAATCATTTTTATTACACAAAACACAGGATTTAAAAAGTCACACCAGTACTGTTGGCAGTTGTTTGTGTACAGTAGAAGACAGCATAATAATACTGCTTAGGCTGTTATAAAAAGTGAGAATATGTGAAAAATAAGGTGCATTTGTGTTCTCCAACTTAACATCCCCTTCTCTGTTTTTCCTTCTAGTGGCGGTTAGGTCCTGATCACTCAGACTTCATCTCGTGGGGACAGGAGATGGTGGTGCAGTGTTAACAGCTGGTGTGATTGGGGGGGAGGGGGGATTGTCGGGATGGCATTTTTACATTCTGTGCTCAACATTTATGTCACTGTGTAAATAAAAATAATTGGAAATCTGATATGTCCCGTCTACTCTATCAACACAGCACCTTTTTGCAGTAGCTTGGTTTTTACCTTTTGTAAATCTGCAATCAAAAGGCACTTTTAATTAGGCGTTCTCAATTTGATTTAATCCATAGAGATTGCTAACAGCCACAGAAGGCAGGCCCATCGTCTTGACCTCAAAGGCACACGCGGGATGCTGCTATGCAAAGGATATCTGGACACACGTAGGCAATAATGTGCAGATATTAAAACAGAATTGTTCATTTTGAATTTAACACTGCAGTGTAGAAGCTCAAGGTAGGAATAGAGTTTAACTGTATAGTGCCACTTCACGTTACCATCAGAGTAGTAATAATTTGGCATTCACGACTATTGTGGTTTGAGTATGTTATTCAAAAGACAGTGGTCACCATGGTTACAGCAAAGAAATTAGCTTTTCAGCATTAGATTTTTCATTTATATCTGAGCGAACAAAAATTAAAAAGCCTGTTCAAATGTGTAAAACCTGAGATTTTTTTTTTCCCGTAGCTGATCTGGAGAAACTAGGTCACAATTCCACATTTTTCACTTCCATTAAGAAAGATTTCTCTTCTTTGTCATTCCCCGTTTTTACCGATGCCCATGCTCCAAAGAAGAGGCTGGTCTGTGGTCACGGTTACGGCCTTCCTGGGCTTTCCGGGGTCAGTGGGCTCATAAGTGTTGGAGGTGCTTACTAGCTTGCCAAACTGCAGGACGTCATTATCTGGACAGAGGAGACAGAAATAACAATTACACACAATACTAATGGCAGACCAAGTGACACCACACTTAATGCTCTTAGGCTGTTCATTATATTGCTGCATGCCAGAGTCTTTTTCTTTTTGAGAAGTGGTCTGGATCAACATGGTCTTGGATAACAATTGTGAGGCAGGGTGGTCCGCATGACTTTGGATTGTGTAAAGCTGTGTGAGGCCACACGTGGTTTTACAGCCAAATCCACAAAGGGTCTTGAATATTCCTACTTTGTGATTACTGCAGTAATCACAGTCATTACAGTTACGTCCACATTTTAATTGCCAGTAGCAGGGAAGGTAACCACTAGGGTATACAAGTCACATACCACATTTTCTTTTGTTTTGTGATTTTATACACAAGCCTTCAGTACTTTCCCAAAAACGACAAATGATTTGACTAAAGCAGCTGTCCAACAGTGTCCTCAAGTGGTCAAATTAGGAAACTCAGTATCCATGCAACCCACTGTAAGACAAATTTTGCCATCTGCTGGTCCTTTATTGGGAACTTATTTAGCCTTTTGCTGTAGAGAACTAAATTCATTTTAGCCTCCTTACACTGACTCCCACTAAGCTTTAGACCTGATCTTAAGAACACAGCAGGGTATGAAGAGGACTGGTGCAAAACCAATCACATTGTTAAGAACATAATACTGCTTTTTACATCTTTATATTTTGCTTTAAAATAATACATACAGTAATTCACTGAAACATGACAAACATAGATGGAAATACAATACATAAGGCAAAAACTGACAAGTTTCAAAGTCACCATCTGCTAGGACCACCTTTCTTGCTTTGTTTACGTACTTCTTAAATGGCATTGGAAGCTCTTCCTTGGATGTCTGCTGACTTTTGTTTATTTTTCTGTGGAGATGATCCCACAGTGCTTTAAACATTTTGCGGCCTGGGCTCTGAGGAGGCCATTTAATCAGTGATAGCGGTCCACTGTGGTTTTCTCTCCAGGTTGGTTCGGGATTGTCATTTTTTCAACATTATTATGCTGAAAAATGAAGCAGATACTTTTCAAATGGTACTGAATGGTGTGTTAACTCCATCAGTTTTAACAAGATCTCCAACACCACTGTATGAAATGCAGCACCAAACCATGACAATGCTGCCTCTGTGTTTTACTGATGGCCGTAAACACTCACTGTTCACCTCTCTCGTGACGACCTCCACATGCTGCCAATGATTTGAGCCAAACAAATCATCATGCCATGATTTTCAGTCCAATTCTTGTGTAATTTGGCATACCTCAGCCTTCTCTCTGTGTTTCAATTCATTAAGAATGGCTTCTTGACAGCCACCCTTCCCCTGAGACCATGTCTAATGATGTTTTTGACAAACAGTAGAAGGTCCTGATGGGTCTTTCAGGTCCTGTGTCAGATCTTTGCTGGATAATTTCCTGTCTCTTAAGGACATGGCTGTCAGACACTGATCATCTGCTGTACATAGTTTTTTAGTCTTGCCAATTCTTCTTTTGTCCTCCGCTTGTCCAGATTTTTACCTCTTTTTTTTTAAAGAATGTACTGCACACCACCATGAGATATATAAAGGTTTTCTGCTAAGGGCTCTTTGTGAATCACCTGGCTAGTGCAAAAAAAATTATTTTATGCTTATCAAACTGTCATCTTTGGTATTTTTTTCACAGATTCAGCTACAGAAATCCAAACAAATTGTGTGTTTAAGCAGGCTAGTAATAAAATGTCTAAAGATAAAATTGATTCTTTGCTCACTCGTCTGTTACATGTAAACATAAAACTGGTTATTAAATAGAGTTAGGTGCTTTTCTTAGGTTTAAATGAGAAGCACTCCTTCGAAAATGGTCAGGTAAAAGGACTGGACTGAAAATGAGAGAAAAAGTAGCCCATGTCAAAAAACAAAACAAAAAACCATTTGAAAGACCCCAAGAAAGCCTGGATAACTACTGGATCCAGACCGCTTTCACAATAAATGAATAAATAACAACAGTCTGTCTCACTGGAAGGAAAATGTGAGGGGTGGCTCAAGACTTTTGCACAGTACTGTGAATATTAATCTAGGCAAAATAACAAATCACTGATCATGCTTCAATAGCCCCGAATGGCAAAAAATGTGAATTTGCACGTCACTTTTTCCATTAAGCGTTACATTTATTTACGCTGCATTAGCTCTGAACAAGCTGAGCTGACAAACACTGAGGGAATGGAGCTATTCAGTCGTGTCTAATATGAAAAGGCTACGCTCACGGTAGGAGATTTACACCTGGGGCTTTTTGTTATTTCCTTACTTTTAGCTGGTACTGTGTCCTTAACATCTGCAGCAAATTAACTACTTAAGAAATTTCTGAACCTTCAGTTTAGTAAATTTGCAAAAATTTACTTCAGTTGTGTTAATGAAGGAAAAACAGTTAATGTGGTTTTAAGATCTGAATGGAGGAAGGTTTTTTTTTCCTTTTGGAAAGCTTTGACCCGTTCATGTCTGAACACTTTCACAAAGCAAGACACAGCAGCCTCTCTTTTTTTTTAAATTTCCATTTGTTTTTGGTTTCTTAAATCCATCTTTATTTAATTCTCTGGTTTGCCTGCTTGGTGTCAAGTGTGCTATGATCAGTGTTTAAGAGTAAGTTGGAGGATGAGTTCTCATTAGTACTATAAATCACACTACAAGCAGGTCTTTCTTTTTTCCTTGGGAAATTATTTCTGCTCTATTAAAATATCAATTTTAGAATTTTGTGGAAGCAAAACTGCCTTAACTTCAAAAAGCAGCAACCTCCAAAGTCTCGCTGACAAGAAAACATGCAAACATGATATACTTAAGTGAAAGAGCTAAACAGCACCTTGCAAACCACATTGATTTTTTTTTTTTTGGCCTGTCCCGTTTGGCTCTTTTGCCATCAGAATTGTTGTCTAAAGGCAAAGAAAGATGCCCAACGGATTTACTTTACCAAATTGACCATCCCAGCCATCCCATTTGATTCACCTTTTATTGTTTGTTTTTTTTTCACTTGCTGAATACGGGACAGACTTGACTGGAGGAAAGAAGGGGAGAAAGAAAGAGGGAAAGAGAAACAGCTGAGAAGAGGGACGGGGGAGAAGGGCAAAAGACAAAAACTAACAGAACGGGCAGGAAAAAAAATGCATATATCGATCACCTGGGTCACCTGCTGAGAAAGAAAAAAGAAAACAAGCAGAAGAGAACAAGAGTACTAGAATAAACAACATTACAATGATATATGGGAATATGACAGTAAATACTAAATATTAAACATTATTGTGCAGCACATAAGATCAACAGAACACAGTGTGCTTTGAGGTAGGAGCCAAAAAGGATGTAGTTTGTGGGTGTGATCACCCGTGTGTACACCTGTGAGCATGGACGCGCTTGTTTTTTTTAAAAGGTTCCTTCATGTAATAATCTGCTAGAGGGTGTGGGGGGGCCACAGCCCCGTCCTCCAGGGCATGAAGCAGGTATGGAGGAGATCAAAACTCCAGACATCCAGAGGCCCCCAGAACACAAGAGACCAAGGAAGACCAACAGAGGGGCAGCCGCGCCACTGTCCCGGAAAGAGCTGAGGAGAGTCCCAGATGAGGGCTCACTCAGCAGCCGCGGAGCAGAAGCCAGGGGGAGTTGCAGTGACACGCCCGTGAGCTCCGCCGGCAGCCAGCTGCACCTGAGTGACCGAGCCCCAGGCCGAGAGGCCGGGGGCACCCCACCTCCGAAGTGGCCCGAGCGAGCCCCAGGCTCCAGGCCCCGATAAGCGGCCGCCAAGGAGTGAGCCGGTGTGTACCTGGACGCCCACCCCCGGACACAAAGAACCACCAACGCACCGATGTCTGAGGGAGTCCGCCACTGGCAGGGGAAGTGGTGGTAGGGGGAGATAGGCCTCCAAACCTTGGAGGGCCTGAGATGTCCCCAGAGAGGTGGCGCCTGACACCCAACCTGACATATAGACACAGACATACAGGCACACACAGATACAAACATCCATTCCCCCCCTCATGCTCTCATATGCACTTACTCCACACTCAACCAACGTGGAGACAGACATAAAGAGACGCTGTACACACGATCACACTCCCCAAGCGTACTCTACAAACCGGGTCTAGGTACCCTTGCCCCTGGAGGGGGAACTGCACCCAGACCCAGGTGGTGTTACCCTTTTCCCTGCGGTGGGGAGAGGCAGACCGCCCCGACTCCGCAGCAGCAAGGAGGCCCCACACTCCAGACTGCAGTCGGACGGCCAACTCCTCCTTCCAGCCCCCCCGCTCCAGCAGGCCGCAGAGAATGGGGGTGAGAGAAGACTCCAAGCCTCCCTCCACCCACTCATTGTAGTGTTGATGCATGTGTGTTCTAAGGTGCATTTAAAACCCAGGAGGGCATGGAGCTACCTGCCAGAGAGCAGCAGGTAAGCGCATGGTCCCTCCTGCTAGCCCTCAATGTCTACGTGTATTCAAAATTGAGAGGTGGGCGACGACGCCAGGGGTGAGGTGTACACCCTGATGGTACTTTGGACTCCGTGTATCGTGCCCACCCCCAAGATCCTATATGTATGTGTAATGAGAGTGTGAGTAATGTGAATGTCTAAGTTGTGGGATAAAATTGAGGCAGAGGCAGCCAGAAGGGGACAGGGAGGGGGGGGGGGGGTAGCCTCCTCTGCACCCTGGTGACATACCCCTACTCCAAGGTCCTGCATGTGTGGGTGGTTGTGGTGGAGCAGGAAGAGGGAGGCAGCTGGAGATGGGGAGGGAAGGAAGGGAGGGGCAAACCACATTGATAAGTTTAAGTAGCCAAAATATGTTATTTAAGATTTAAGATTGAATTTAAAGGAGGCCAATATTACAATTACTGGGGGCTGCAGGCACCTGTGCATTCAACCAGTCATCAATTTATCAATTATCCAGTTAACCAATCGTGTGGCAGCAGTGATGTGCATAGGGAATCTCAGTTAATGTTCACAGGAAACATCAGAAAGAGGGACAAACTGAAC